CCGTGTTATGTGAAGTTGAGAAGAAAAATCAGGCCAAAGAAATAGCTAGAGAATCTCTGGATGATGACGAAGGCTTGAGGTGATGAGAAGACGGTGACTTTTATAACCGATTTATTTGAATGACATAGTCCGTTGGACTACATTTAACAGAGACAAATCTCGGAATGATGACATAGTTCCAAAATAAATGCCCACTACACTTCGTCGACGCACTCTTCCCGGGGAATATTTAGTAGTGGTAGCGACATGGAAACGGCTGTGCGGGAAGATTTGATCCCGAGTGTAGCGTATCGGTCCGCGGGAATGGCGTCGTCAACGGCGCTGAAGCGTAACCACTAGACACTATAGTACCTATTGAGCTTCTACTTTCCCCGGATATGTACTCCGCAATAACATGTCTGGGGATCGGGAGGGCACGACAAAAGAACCTGGCCGTGTGCTAAAAACGATTCCAAACTATTACCGACATGCTATTCCTGTTCGCCACGCACGCAGCATCCATGCAGTGGCTGTCCAATATCAGCATTTTCTCAGGTAGTCTTGTCTGAAAAGGGAGTAGTGTTCAGACTATCGCGCGGGACAAAGGACTTCCGTCGGCAACGCTCGTGGTATTGCGCCCTTGTTATGACGTCTAATTTCGCTATGCTATACGTTCAAGTGCCCAATCACCACTTCGGAGAACTAATAAGCTCGTCCAGGAGCAGCATAGGTGACAACAAACTTGCGGACGCCCAGTTGATTCGCGCTTATTTCCATAGTTTAGTATCAAAAGATCGTCATGGACGAGTCGATGCTAAACCTCGGCACAGTCCGTGGAACGAACATGGCTCAGATCTAGGCATGCAGCTTTGCAGATCCCCTATTGACTCTGTCTTAGCTCAAGTTCTTTCCGTGCCCTCATTGACAAATTCGTCACGTTTGATTGGTGAATTGCGCTTGCCAGCTTTGATCATTGGGAACGATGTTGTTGTTGGAGTAACACCTGGTCATGCTTTTTCCAATAAACTGTCTCATCCCTTTGAACAGTGTCATAGAACCAACCGGGCTAGGGGGGCTCATCGTCCCCTTCGCTCAAACTTCCCTCACCTCCTACGGCCGGTTTTCCCAGTCTGAACTCCCGTACATCTATAATTCCTATTATTGCACCCGGGTGCTACTTCTAGGCCATGACTCTATGTTTGAGACCAGACTTGCAGCCTTTTGTCTCTCGTCTTCTTTCGGTTCGGCTGCATTCGTGCTAGACCCTCCATTGGCACAAGTAATGATTGATTGAAAAAGAAATAGAACAGGGAAGAGAAATAAATAAAAGGAAGCTAAGTCGAGGCATCAAGGCCTTTCCCAGACGGGCCGAATCGCAGAGAGTAGCGCTAGTGCACAGGATGGGGACACGAGTGCATGAAGTCACAGGCCTCTCTGGATCGTATTCGGAAGATGCCAAAAGGCTCCATCCGTGTGCCCTGTTCACCTCTCCCTCAGATGTTGCGCAAGCGCACCTGCGGCCCACGCCGGGCTACGACGCACATCAACATGGTCAACCGGAGAAACAAGCTCATCTGAAGGCACCAAGACCCACGCATCCCAGCTATTATTCCTTCTTCTTGTTCTTACCAGGGAATACCGAAAACAGCTTTTCTCAAACTGGGTGAATGCTGGTAGATCAACTCATCCGACGGCCCGAGCCGCAACTCTCTGAACAGGAATGTGTGATTAGGATAAGATGCTATGGCGATCTGTGCTGAGTGATGCTTCAGCCTGTGATCATTTTGCGTGTCAGATTCTGAGGACTCTCGCGGAACATGCATATGAGAGTCAAGATACAGTCTGAGAAAAAAAAAAGCAGCCTTTTCTTAGACATGCCGTTGCCTCATAGGAAGGTCGACTAGCATTTTCTGGAGGACCCAGGGGTGTTCATCTCCCTTGCTCCCTGCTCTTCAATCAAGTCGGCTTGTTTACGACATGGGATAATCCAAAATTTTGGAAATTTGTTCAGCCGAATGGATCTCTCATTCTGTATGGTTCCATGCCCACACGAGCACATGAGCCAGAATGCAATGACACGTATATCCATTAACGCATTAAACCCTGATTTTGTCAATTCTACATGCCACAAACGGAAAGATCTTGGCAGCACGAATGTTGCAGAGCAATGGCAGCATGACTAAGCGTCATCTCACAGATGGTCTGCTTGAAATTGCGCATGTTTTGAGTCACAAAGCTTGTCCTTTTCCTCCCTTCGTGTGTCTACATCCCACATCCTCGACAGCTTTAGGCGTGGTCTAACGCTCCATCTTCTTTGAGGATCTCACATCCACCACGATGTCCACTTCGCTCTTCAGCAGGACGACATCTGAGACTCTTCAATCATCTCAAACTTCCCCGAAGCGTCTGTCACTCTCACAGTCAGCAACAGCAACGAACCCATTGACGGCCTCGAGGGACATCTTCGTGCAGCAAAACTTTCCCGAACGAACAGGCTTGACAACTTTGCGAGCGTAGTTTACCAAGGATCAGAGTCTATTAGCATCCTATATCCTCTTCATTTCGCCGGGTACCCTGGCGACCATCCATAGACACCTACGATGAATACGTCCTCCAAATCTTTACGTGCCAAGTATGAATAGGAAGCTTCAGTGCGGAAACGACGTTTATTTCGTCTACATCGTACATTGAGCACCAATAGAGCAGCGCGAGACACCATTGATGAGAACTTCTATGAAGACTACGTATGAAAACGGAACAGTTGCTCATCATGGCTAATTGCCAATCAGACATAAATAAGGATACATATGAACAACCCGACGGTTCTCATTCCCCATCTAAAACAAGTGTGAAGAGTTTTGGCAAGGTGAACACCACACCAAGCACACGCACAACGTCCTCACAAATCACCCCTCACGTACCTCATAAACAAAAATTCTACTCTTGCCCTCTTCCGGCGCAAAATACAGCCTCACTCGTCCCCCAACGACAGCAACATCCATCGGGTTCTTCGTCATCAACACGCTCTTCCTCCTCATGCTCGCTTCTATGTGGTCCTCATCCCCCGTCCACGGCACAACCCCTGTTCTTTCCATGAACGGCACCTCCCACAGAGGAACCATCCCCTCCACTTCAACAATCGCCAACCCACCCACCTCCAACCCCGGCGCCAGCGTCGCGATGCCGGAACAAAGCATCAGATGCCTCCCGTCGACGATGCCGAGAGATTTGCAGTCTTGGTAATCGATCCAGTGCGAAGGATTCACGATTGTTGTCTGAGGTCCGTCGACTTCCCCATTGTAATCCACTTCACCCCGTTTGCCAAGTTGAGCCTGTTCCCCCTTTCCAATCCCACCGCCAGTTTCGCCCTCCCATGTCATCCCGGCCTTGCTGATATCCCATCTCCTCGCAACTCTCCCACCCCACCCCAATGTCGTCAACGTCCCATTGTGGACATCATGCACGATCCCACCCTGGTGATCCGCCACCTGGAAGACCCTCTCCATTTCCACGCTGACCGGATTAAGCCTCACCACTGTTGCTGTCGAATTCGGTCGGTACTGCGAGAGCGTAGCCCAAATATGTCGCCCATCAAAATCAATCCCTCCGTTATGATACTATATCCTTCGTTAGCCATCCGTCTGACTTCAAGGGGGCTGCAAAGTGACACAGGCCCCTAAAGAAGAGAGAACTGGGGTGAAAAGAATATCTGAGTCGAGATTTACCTCCAAGTCCCCTTCCTCGGAAACAACCCAGTCCCCAACACGTCTTCCGCGCCCGTCAAACACCACGAAATGCGCAAAGCCCGCCCCGGCACTCCGATCCGTCCCATCAATCCATTTTCCGTCAGGATACTTCTCCGTCGGGACGGTATACTCCCCTGCCGAAACCCAGAACCTTTCCTCATCACCATTCTCCTCCTCATCAACGTCCACTGGATCCCGTTCTCTGTCATTCCCCTCCATACCATTACCCGCAAGCCTCACAATTCCCTCCGGCTCCCATAACTCCCCCTCAAGCTCAATAACCTTGACAAGATCCAGTCTCGCACCCTGGTCACCACTCATACTCGACCGAGACAACCCCGTCAACTGCTTCACAATCTCCGCGCCATCCCGCGTAGCCCCAGGCTCAGGAAGTGGTACGGGCGCTAGCGGGACATTGGGCGTCGGCCTCGTGAGATTCTTCCACTTCATTGTTCCTTCTACGACGCTGTTGCTGGCCAAAAACAATAAGAGGAAAGGGTGCGGCGCCCGGACCCTCATCACGGTTACTCCGTGAACACGGTCTCTGTCCAAGGGCGCGAGGCTCGAGGGAATGCGAAAATTGTACAATCTGCTGCAGGTTTTGGGGAGAATGTAACCACAGAAGGGGCAAGCTGCGTTGAAATGATGCAAATTTGAAAAGGTCAAGTGCTGTGGATGAAGCAAGATGAAGCAATCCCTGGCCCAGCCGGAGATGTCGGAAGAAATCATGTCGATCAGGGCCCGCCCCGCACTCCCCGCCTCGGCCCGTGTTGTCCTCGGTTGCCTGTCCCGGACGCATTGGAGGTACACAGGTCGAGAGCCCCAGCACTGCATCGAATGACATGACGCAGATCCCAGTGCCGTATTAGGGCTTTCTTACATTCGATACAAGTTGCCTGAGCGTCGAAATTCTTGATTTGATGCGCTTGCCAATCGAGAGGGGGCAGGGGGGGGGGGGCCCAACCTGAGAACACGAGTCGCGTCATATCACCAGGCACACGAAGCATTTCAACTAATCTATTCTTTCCGATCAATCAAATGCTAAATACAGTGTGAATTAACCCATACGAACAATCACCGACATGGTGTACACGGTATAAAACATCATACCATGATGCCGGCAGCTTTCAAGCCGGGCATGTTTAGGCCCCCAAACTCCAGAGTACTCCGTCATGTACAGTGCTGCGTATCGCTGAGTAGCAGACGCAGGGCTTGACTATCATCCTTCATCCATCCATACATCAAGTCTCGTAACAGTCATCTGGCATCAATGTGTCAGACCGTCTTGCCGCCGCAGTCCGGTATAACGACGCCAGACTTGACCTTGCGGTTGACGTCCATCAGACCCCATTGGTCCTCCCAGTTCTTGTCTTTTTCGTTGTACATTATCTTCCATGGCTCGTCAAAGGCCGAGAACCAAAAGTAGTTGGTACCATTAGTCAAAGCGGGACATACCCACTTGTCCAACAGCTCATTCAGCTCGTCGATACCGGCAACTGAGGCATTGGGGCAGCCCGTAGCAGTGCCATCGCCGCAGCTTGTGCCACCTTTGGTTGGCCAACCAATCTCGGCAATCACGTTCTTCTTCTTGTCCGACTTGAAGAATCCACCGGCTTGATTCTCCCAAAATGCGTAAGTCCACATGGCTGCGTCCTTGGCGTTGGTTCCAGAGAAGAACGGGTGGATGTTGGCCATGATGTAGTCACTCTTTGACGCCAAAGATGCCGTCCAGTCGTCGCCCAGGTCTGAAGTTGCCACAGGCAGGCTAAGTCCCTTGCTGGTCAAGTTGGTTCGTACCTCTTGGAGTAGAGTCCCCAGTTCCGACTCGGTCATTTGCTTCCGGAACAGAATTTCGTTGGCGACGATGAGACCCTCAAAATGCTTGTCTCCGTACTGGTCCAGAATATCCCACATTTGGGAAAGTTGTCTCGCGTTGGTTGTCTTGTTGCCATCCTGCCATACACCCAACCAGATCTTCACTGTGCCCTCCAGTTTGAGTTGTTCAATTGAGTGAATAAGCATCTGCGTCTGGTTGCAGTCTGTGCCGTACAAGCGGACAGTGTTGGTCAGTTGACTGAGAACAGCAAGATCACGGGTGATGTTGTTCTGTGAAGGAGGATTGTGATAACAATCGGGGTACTGGGAGTTGAGAGGCGTGTAGTCCATTCCGGGGAACACCTTATGCAGTTCCTTGTTGTTCATAAGCGCTTTGATTTCGGCACTGTCGGCGCTGAGGTCACCGTTGGAGTTCTTGTCGTCGTCTGCTGATTGTCCATTTCCTGAGCTGTTGCCGTCGCGACTGTTTCTAGAAATTAATCCACCTGCAATGCCACCAGCAATGGCACCGGCGATGAGGAGGATCACTCCGAGAATAATGCAACACTTCCACTTTCTGCGTCCCTTGTTTTGCTGCGCCATCCACTCTGATTTCTTCTCTGGTGAGCTGAGGTCAATGGCGCTGCCGTTTTGATACTCGGCCGTTCCCTTGGGGTCGTAGTAGCCGCTGTGATTTCGGTTCGCCATCAATCCTGCTGCGGCACCTCCCGCAGCAGCCGCGCCAGCTGCGCCAGCTGCTTTCGTCTTGCCTGTTCGATCGCTGTTGGAAAGACTAAGCATCGAGTTTCGTCCACTTTTGGGCTTGCCGTAGTCGAGACCATCATCACCATCGTCCGCGATAGAGTTAGGATCCACCACGCCAAGGTGTTGGGGGTGTCGTTGGTAGTAGGGGTTTTCGTTGTAATAGTCGTTGTAGCCGTATGGGCTCGAAGATGGGGATAGCCTGGCCGGAGAAGCACCAGCTCCGCCGAGAGCCGTCAGGCTGGAGTGGGAGTCTCGGTCCGGAAGACTGCCTTGGTAGCTACCCTGGTAAGGACGCGGGACGGCATTGCTCATCTCGTATACGTCGCCTCCCGGTTGACTGTAAGCTTGCGGTGGTGCACTGGGCTGCTGAGACTGTCCTCGCGGGGTCTGGCCAGCACTTCTCATGGCACCAACCCCGCTCTCCCTGGCGTTACGTTCGGCGACGGTGTAAGCGATACCAGCCATACCTCCTGATGCCGTGTCGCTAAAGTTATCCGCGCCAGGTGTGATATTCGGATTCAGATTGCTCTGCTGTGGAGCCGCATAACGATCGGGGCCCCAGTCGCGGTGCACCGGAACCTGCGGAGAGTTGTCGATGGGGGATACGGCTTGATGAGCTCCGTATGCTGTAGGGGCACCGCCCACGGCACCGACAGCAGCCGGTGGTGGTCCTTGGCGATCGTTCCTCCGCTCAGCTCTCATGCGGCCAAAGTTCGGGTCATGATTGGGTTCGGAGTACTGGTGATCATGATGGTATTCATGAGGCGCGCCGTGGTGGTACTGATTATCTTGGTAGTACTCTGGGGGATTGGGGGTATGAGACCGATAAGCCTGGTCTAGGGGCTCTCGCTCGGCATCGCGGCCGTCTTCAAAGTCGTATCGTGGCATGTTTCGGGCAGGATGTATATTTTCGAGGTAACGTCTCGCAACCCTCGTGGGTTGAATGGTTGACTGACCAACAGCCAAGAAGTTCTGCTCGATTGTGGTGGATGAGGGAAGCGGAGAAATCGAGGGACGCTGGGTAGACGGGAGTCGACTTTGGAGGATGGCCGGCTAATGCGTGCGGCGGTTGCAGGAATGCGGGTGCAATTTCAAAATGTCTCGGAACAACAACTGTTTAATTGTGAGTGCGGTTCTCGCTGAAATCGGCATGTGTAAAAGCCCGCCTAATCATTCCAGCGTAGCGACTGCAGCGAGATCGGGAAGAGACCGCATCAAATTGAAGAGGTGCATGGAGAACAGATGATGCAGATGGGAAGCAGGGAAAGAAACACTAACCTCCGTGCACCAGGTCTCCCGGTGACTCGGATTGAGAAGCCGGCAGGCGGACGACGCAAGCTAGTCGCCTCCGCCTAGTAGAAGTGGTGTTGCGGCGAGTTTGGCGATGGTTGAGCGTACCAAAGGAAGTTCGTGGGACAGTCGCAGAGACGTTTGGCACGTTTGTTTATTCGAACCGGCGAGCAGCGGGAAGCTGGGGAATTACCGGTGCGACAATATCGAGGCGAGGAATCGCGCGTTTTTGAGATGACTGTCTCGAAACCCTGGGTGGGATTAGGTGTATGGAGATTGCAAACCGTCAAAATGGGCTTCGCTCCGCCAGAAACCGTAAGGGGAAGAAAAAAGGTAGATGTTGAGGTGAATGGGGTGTGAGCGAGAATGGTGAGCAAGCAAGCCCCCGAGAGTGTTAGGCGCGGAAAATCTGGCTGGGCATTTAGGTGTTTCGCCCGCAGCAGCGCCAGGTAAGAAGTTCGTATTTTGGTACACCCGTGCGGCTCCCTTGTCTGGCGTTGCGCTTGCTCGTATTGGCTTGCGACCCGTCTCCAAGTGTTGTCGAGGAGCTCGAGTACTGGTATCTGCCCGCGGGGTGCGCGCGCAGGAAGCGGGAGCCGGAGGAATCGTTGTTTGGAGTGGTTCGCCTTGGAGATGCTGAAGACAAGGCTTGGAAGGATTGTTGTCGGCGTCGGGCATGAGGCATTCGACAGAAAAGAAGGAATGATACGGATACAATAAGGTGGGTAGCACGATGAGCGGTGGCTTGGGTGGTCTTGTGTTCGTGGATGTTGGCTTTTCAATCTTGGCCCATGAAGACAATGGACGACCCGACGTCAATCAGTGGAGAGGGACTGTACCGTAGTACCGAAGCTGCAACGACGATATACGTAGGTACCTTGGAAGACTCTATGTATACCGCGGGACTTGCGAAAAGAGGCAAAATGCGCCGCGTGTGAGACAAATTGGGGGGCCTTTAAGTTCTAACAGGATGGGATGGCAGGAACGGGGGCAGGCACAGCTGAAGCAAAGGTACCTACAATGTAAAGCACCCCGTACCTAGGTACCGTAACCTCTCGTGAATGCTTCCTTCCTCAGCCATATTCTTCCCTTGTGTGAACAGATTGGGGACAGATTGGCATTTTCACGGGAGGAAGTAACTGCCATAGCCATTTACAGATATCCTTCCTTGGCAAATTGGTTTGGTCGCCGCCTCCTTTCACTGGCACCCGTTCTCCATACCATATATGGCCTCATGAGTCTCGACAACAACGGGAATGGTGCGTCGATAACAACGGCCCAGCCTTGTCCCTCCAAGCTGGAATCTGGGGAGGAGGAACCTAGCTATACCTGCCTCCCCTCCGAGCCCCAGCCCCTGTGCTCACGGGACTCCTCCCTGACCCCATCTGCTTTGCCGAGTGCCGTCATCCAGGACAGGGGGGCGCCTTAGGATGATGGGATCAGACTGAGAGAGTGGAGTGAATGCTGTTGCATTTGCACCTTAAAAACCTAAGCCCAGGCAATACCAGACCCGCCTGGTATCCGACTAGGTAGTTTTCTCGGAGTGAAAAATAAAAGCAGACTAGGGGAAAGGAGAGGCACATACCACACCACAGTGACGGGGGGCAAAAGGCCCGCTGCAAAGCTGGGAAAAAGCAAGGCAGCCCGAGCCAAGCAGGTTTATTTTGAGTCCCCGGCCGGGGCAACAAGGGAAAGAGCGGCCCTTTCTGTGCAGCCACTGATCCATGCCTCTCGTTCTCCAGCCGTACGCAGTACTTGTACACAGTAAGCTCATGAGATGCAAACACCACTCTCTGTTTTGGACTTTGCCTTACCTTGGTTGCCTTTCTACCGTACAATACTTAAACCTGGGCCATCATCCATGCCTTTTGCTGAGAACAGCTGAGACCGTTGGAGATGGCGGAGGCCAAGGTGCTAAAGAGTACCTAAGTTGGGTGCATAAGGAAGCGGCTGTGCAGAGACCGCAGATGAATGAATCCCCGAAAAGCAGCCGGTGCTTTGCTCAAGGTACCTAGGCGGCACTCGAGTCACCACTGCTAAACGTCCCCCTTACACCAGCTACTCGTCTACCAACCGGACGTATTCGAAGGGCTTCACTTTTGGGACACGTTTGCGACTGCAATCTAAATAAGACCAGCGACAAATCGCTGACCGCAAACTGAGTGTGCCCACTCACGAGTCTGAATGAATGTTTCTTTAGTGGGCCGAGGCCCTGACTGGCTCTTGTCCCTCCGGGCCTATGGACAGACCGTGGTTGGCTGAGCGACCGCTGGCGCCTTACCTGTCTATTTGAGGTGTGGCTGCGCCCCTCTCTACATAGTACGGAGTACCTACTGCAGTATACACAGTAAACCAGCCCACCACTTCTCCTGGAAGCCCGTGACCCTCACTTCCCACTAGCCCCCCCCCCCCCCGCCCTCGCTGATCCATCCATTCGATTGTCGTTCTTGTCGTCCAACCTCTTCGTCTCACTTTACTTAGTACGAATGCGTGCCCGCCGGTAATCCGTACCTGAGCGACAGCATTCGCGAACAGCGAAAGAACCGACTTCGTTAGCAACACGGGTCCTCACCGACAATGCTCCGACCACCAGGTCGTTGACGGCTGCCGAGTCAACGCTACGACAGAAGTCTGTTTTTCCAACAAAAGTATCGTCCTCAGTCATGCAAAATGCGACGGGGGGCCGGTGATCGTCAGGCCCACATGCAACCAAGTCCATCAAAAGCAAACACACAGAATCAAGCATCATCCACCCACACAACCAACCTCCAGACAATCAGACTGTCGCAAATCGAATCCCATCATTTCCCGCCCGTAAACACTTCACGCAACTCTGCGTGTTGGGTACGCTCGTAGCTTTGTACGGATTGACAGCGATGATCAGCAAAATCCGAAACTGTCATCCCATCCTTTGGCTATTTTACTTCCTCCCTCCAGTGCCGCAAAAGCTCCCGACCCCTCTCAAAAAAAGAAACCCCAGCAACCTTCCCTACTGAATCAATCTGCCTCTAAAATCAGCAAGGAAGTCCCTTTTGCCATCACTCTTGAAGAGTCCCCGGCTTCTCAGTGCCCCTTCATCTCAATCACCATTGCCGCCTTCCGCCTTCACCGTAGTCGTATTCTATGCTTTGGCTCCCGCGAACCCCCCTACCAAAAACACCAAACCTGAAGCACACTGAAGCAGCACCGGCCCTGCTTCACTCTCCCTACGGAGTACTGCTGCAACGCTAACCCATGTTTTACGCATGACATCACCAAATAGCTTCAAACAGGATGGATTCCCCTTTCAGTCATCGGCGCTCACCTCTGCTTTGGGACAATTGATGCTACGTAATAATTTGAGCTTTTCCACGAGTGTTCACTCACACAGCTGAAAGCGAGAGTAAGAGTGAGGAAAGCCACGCCACACTCTTCTACCTACCATATTGCTGACACTCCACCTGACGCCACATTCTGCCTGCCATCTGCTCTTCCAGCGTCCAGCTTTGCGCCGGCCTGATCAACCCTCGTAAAATACACAGACCACCGTCCTATTCTCCTGAGAGGTTCTGCGAGACTGCAAAACCTCGTATCGGCGAGTCAGGCGACTTGCGAAAAAGGCAGCTCGACCAATATGTAGGTCCATAGCGCCATTAGTCAACTCTCAGTGAAGTGAACCATCATTTCTATCTGTCTCCAACTACCCTCAACTAGTGCCCGGCATCCTTTCTCCCGACGTTTCCCGCCAATGCCCATCATCTCCCACTTTGAGAGGCTCAACCTAGATATTTTGCGAATCACTCCCGCAACCTTATCCCCAAACTCTGGGACTAACGCGTGCAGTATTGCGATACTTGGATCAAAATTGTGTTCTCTCCTAGAGCTTCTGCAGCTTTATTTCATAAATGGGTATTGATCTGCCATATTAGTGCTTCAAGCACCGTCGAATGGGCAGAGCTAATGTAGCCCTTTGCAACACAATCGAAGGGTAGGTCAACGATGATATACGCTCTATGAATCTCTCGTCACGTCATAATCATTATTGAAATGCTGGGGAGTTCGTTTAAATGTTATGTAACCGCCAGACAATCTGATACTTGTACCTCCAAGTTCACAGTACATCAACAAGCCAGACGAAGTATGATTTCTCAGGTTCAAGTAGTGTATTCACACCAACTGAATTGCCTCAAGTCAAGTCATTCCATTGTAACTGAAACAATAATCCCCATTCGGAAGTCATTCATTCACATCATGATGGTGCTTTTCCAAGCCCGTCTCGTATGACCTGCATCACATGCACCGATGCTAAGTGGAAGGCCTGATTTCGCAGCTGCGGTAGTCTAGAAGAGAGTCTTGACCAGAGCTTTGTGATTTCTTCAAATTACAACCGCTCGCAACGAATCACAGTAGCCCTAAATGGGGCGTGGAAGTAAGAGCCCTTTCGACAGCACGTCGAAGACAGGTTTATTTGCTATCAACTTACATCCAAGTGTGGCTATATATGCTTGAGCCAGTCTCAAACACAACTAAGTGGACTTTATGCATGGACTTGAAACATAAACTCTTTTTGAAACTCGAACGAGTACACACAGGTTAAAATCTTTGGCCACGGATGTCGAAGGCTTGGCTTCGATGTGCCCGGAAACTTCACAGCGATGTACGATCCTTCTTGTTTTCGCCCATCAGGTATAATTATGAGCTTATGTCAGCGCTGTAATGGCAGGCTAAAAAACACCTATATGATCTGATAAACGACAGTAAGCCGTATTTATGTACACCAGACTTTTGAGTACTATCTGTAGTCGCAGTGCTACCGAGCCGTTACGGGTTCCGAAGTCTAAGGAGCATCCATTTCGGCACATCGTGTATTCGAAAACTTCACCAGCTGTATCTAGTTGAATGACATCTGCAGACCTTTCTTGCTAGATTCCTAGTGAAAGATTCGTTCTATCTGGTCTGAAACAGTCGGTCAAGAAGCGAGAGGCCTTGAGGCTTAGAAGCCTTGGGTGAAGGCATCCATATAGTTTCCTGGAATGGCAAACCGACATCGAGAACGTTTCATTCCATCTAGTAATCCTTTTTGAGGAAAGGTGGCGCTTGTAACATTCTTGGTACTGGCCAAGTCACTTGCAACGATCACAGTAGTACTAAACGTTTACAAGACTAAGTTACACGTATTATATCATTGCTATCGGACGTCACTCAGTGCTTCTGAACTTCTATTTTGATGCGATTAGCAGTACTCGCAGAGCCTCCAATTCTACCACAGCAACAAAAGCCTCATTGCGCTTATCGTCTAAGATTAGTTAATGACACATAAAGATAGTTAAGGTACAGAGATAAAACTAGCGCAACCGCCCTCCGCTGCCGTTTTATCCCATTTGCGCGACGTTGCTATCCTTCTGATTTGTTTTGTTCATGCTTTCATGGGGGAAAGGAGCACCCTTGAAAGTGAGAACAATAACGGGCTAAGAATTAAGTCATGAGAACGTGGTAAGTTTTGAACTCTTCCGATAGTGATACTTATGAGGGAAGACAGTGCATTTTATGTCATTAAGCAAGAGCGGCGTACATGGGTAATAATTCAACTTTCATTGTCTTGTTCGGTTCGACGAACGTTCACCCTAGAGCGGAACGCTACGTCTCCCTCAAGCATCTCATTTTACGTATATGCATCTTTTGAGTAGAGATAAGGTTTAAGAACTTTTTGATAATCACGACATAATCACGACTGTTAGCAATTATCCTTGTTTTATCCATGTAAATACTCTTGATGCAACATGTTGAACTGAATTGTTCTGCCCGGTTCTCAGCTACGATGAAGCCATTCACCGAATAGTATGTATCGTCTTCGAACTGGACAGACGTGCTTCTGATAACTGAGATTCAATTTGCCAACTGATGTCTCATCTTAGTCAATAGCATGAGCACCCTCGGACCAGTGCTCGTGGAGAGCGAGAGGTTGCTAGTGTGGATCGACTCGGTTATCGGCAGGCAGGTGAGACGCAGTTGGGCCCCATCACACGTGTTCCAGATTTCGTTTAAGCCCCTGGCTCAGACTGAAGGCCCCCCCAAAATGGCAAATCTTTCAATCCTAAGAACATGTCACCAGCCCGAAAGCTCGCACTTGCGTGATACCTCAGGCTTTACGTTTACAGGTATGTTACTGTAGAGTTGAAATCACTTGGAATTGACTTTTCCGTCCTAAAATCATATTCTACGGTCGTTCCATGCACAAACCGTCTTGATAGACGTGCAGAAATTGCTTGCAGCCCCAAGCTAGGGCTCGTTTCATGAGAGCCCGTCCTGCGCTTAGCACTTGAGAGACATGAAACACGTCAACGCAACACTCCAGATGTATCAAAGGGTTTGCTTGGCTGAGCACAGATGACAAGAGCAGGGATCATCGCAAGCCCAGCCGACCTTCTCTGCTAGGAAACCAGTACTCAGGAGTGCAAAGATTCGTTCGGAGTTTCATCGGCCATCGTCCCTTCCATGATGAGATGGCCATCCCTCGCTCGTGAATCGAGCTCTCAAACAGCCATTGTAGCCGGGCAAAATGAGCCGGTATATCCTATATGACGGGAGAGAGAACCCCGTATGCGGATCTTACGGTAGACAAAACCAAGGCGGTCCCCAGGTGATTATCCTCCTAACAAACCATTGTGCGGTTGCTATTGTTCCCTTGTTCTGCATTTTCTAGCACGTTGACCCTCCCGCTGCTACTCTCTTTTCCAAGATCAAAATGCCCCCCAAAAGCAACCACTACTCGACAGTATCGCACTCGGATACCTTTGATGATTCCACTACTGAAGTCGACGAGTCACTCATGGGCGATGAGAAGCAGTGGCACTCAATAGACCTGAACGTAAAAGGGAACCAGGGAGGAAGCACTTGGAAACAGGTCAAAATTCTCTTGCGGAGATATCGCTGGCTTATCGACACACTTCTCCTCCTCACGAATATTGGTCTCTCGCTAGGACTGTCGTTATTGTTGTACTATCAATTTGAAGACGCTAAGTTCCCTTCGCGAATGACACAAATTGGCGGCGATTACACAGGCGCTGGCCCGCAATGTGAGTCAGCCCCCAGATTAAGCCATGGTATGGTCCACTAACCTAACTGTTGTGACCTTCAGTCCCGATCGAGATCAAGAAATTTGATGCCGACCATGCCGTGGTGCCTCCCAACGCAACAGAATTTCTTTCCGAAGCTACGCTGAATCAATGGCGATCGCTTTTGCCTGGTAACGCCACTAGCTGAGACCTCAACTATAAGATTGATAATTCACTAACACCGGTATAGCTGGTGCCGGTTGGAAATCCGAGGACGACGGTCCTTTCTTCACCACTACCATGACCCATCAATTGCATTGCATCGTACGGTTCAACTATATTGCTTCCTTGGAGATACATCTACTGACTTCTTGTAGTTCATGATGGGACGCATCTACTCTGGAATGGTCACCAACAAGACTGACATGTCTAGAACCGAGGCTGATATCCATTTCTATCACTGCATTGACTATCTGAGACAAGCAACCATGTGCTCAGCGGATCTGGCACTTGAACCACATCTGATAACGGACGCGGATGACAACGGGCCTGGAGATGGTAGTTGGAACGGCATGCATGGTAGGCGACTTCTCCCCCATCGACAAACTGCAGATAATTCTAAGCCAAGGTGTGTCAATCTCAAAGAGCGAGAACTAACTCGGACGTACTCCCAGTCTGCAAGAATCACGATCAAGTGATCAAATACGTAGATCGTAAGTTCAAACACTAAACAACTCTACATTGACAATAGTCTAACACCAAGTCACAGGGCAAATCAAGGAAGGAGTTCGTGTGGTTCTGCCGATAGATGACTGAGCTCTAGAGGTTGGAGTAGTTTTTGAGTTGCAGCGTCTTTATCCCATTGAGAATACAATACAACAGTAATACTCTTCTTCGGACTCTCAACGAATGAATCATACGCAGCACCATCGGTCCACACAGTCAGCCTTTTTGAAAAAGAGATTGTGCAATAGGCGACATCCACCCACGAAATGGATTCCAAGTAACCCAAACTCATGTTGGTTGGCGCCAAGACCTACGCCGCAAGCCTGTACCCACGTTCTTAATGAAGGATCTCTTCTACACAAGACATAATTGGACTACGCCGCACGCAACAGCTGACTTGAGTCTAGTCAGTGCAGCTGCACACATTGGCGCCAGCGGATCGCAAGGAGGACTGACAACCAGATTTGAGATCTGTGATTGGAAGTGTCCTTCAAGGATGCCTGTCAGTTTCCCATAGCCTCGATGCCTGTGGACGGAGCTACTCGCATGCCTGCTTCCGACCTTGCATGCCAGCTGAAGCTTTGGCCGCAGCCTGATTTCCCTGGTATTAAATACCTCTGGATCTGGAAGCCAGGCAGGTGGACAATACAATGAGTTTCTTCTGCATCTTCCCTTTGTCATCCCTCGACCTGCGCTCCATCCATCTCGTCTGATTGAGCAACTGGGTAAGCCAGCGATAATCGGAGGCTTTGAGAGACTCACACTCGTCATGCATCTTCTAGGTCGCGTCTCACTCTGCCTTCTCCTCTCGGCCCACGGAACACACTCCGAAAACCGTTTTCGAAGACCGCCTGGTCCGGGTCCCTCAGGTGACTTCCGAGATAACCCTGTTTACCCGTTGGGAACCCAACTTGATCTACAATGGGAAACGGACTTTACGGCAATCGACTTAATCATCTGGCATGAAGCGACGTATCCGAAGAGTAAAGCAACGTATGCTTCAATTATCTGTAGGTCAATCCATTGCGAGAGATTCTTTGGATGAGAGCTCAGAAATGCAGCAAACACGCGTGCGCTGGGCATGCTCTGGACGGTCAGCTTTACTGGCTTCCCTTCGCACCATGATCCGACTTTGAGCCCTGTGTACTTCATTCAGATGTTCAACCACAGTGCTTCAGTGGGAGACATTACTTGCCACTATTTCAACATTACCAACTCCGTAGCATCCACCTCAGCGATAACATCGACATCCCCTACGTCGACAGCTTCGACTTTGACGGCAGTTGCTACACTAGTTGAAGCATCCCCAACCGCGTCACCTGGCTCTAGTGGAATGAATAACGGCGCATCTACCGGTGTAGTCGCTGGCATTACAGTGGGCGTCGTTTTGGGAACGCTGGCTATCATGGGCCTAGTGGGTTGGGTTATCTGGAGGCACCTGCGGAAGAAGAAACAGGGTCATGGGAGCGGTGATGCCGGGGCAAGCGACGTGGGGAACTTTTCTGCTGTTCAAGAAATCGGGCCCTCTCCTCCTCTTCGTTGGAAGTACGAGCTTCCTATGAATGCTCAGCAACATCGTTATGAAGCTGATGGAACAGAAGTTGTGAGGTATGAGATGGCCAGCGAACTAGGTTCGACTGACAATGAGAACAAAACTTTGAGGGTGAGGGGTGACGCAATGTTGAGAGAGCCGTGAGCAACCTCTGTATGGATCGGAGGTAAATAGGACTTACGTGAAAGCTGTCGAGAGGAAGGCTCAATATCCAAATACCTAGATGAAATACTCCGCCATTATTGAACAGCATGATACTAGCATTCACGGCAGGCTCGGGAATGCCGTCGGTCTGTGGCATCTAGCAAATTGCCCTTCTTGAGGATATTGGAAATCATCATGTAATGCCTTACTTACTTGAAGCATTATATCCAGCTTCGGAAGCCGCCTCTTCATGTTGATATAGCTGGAAACCTCGAGGCTTAGCTTTTCATGTGGAATCCTCAATACTGAATCCGTTGTTTGAGCACAAACTAAAGGGTTGAACAACCACCTCAAACTACTTATGCTATGATTGCTTTCTAATTATCCTGGCCGATAATTTCTGAAACCGGCTCAACTACCTGCTGCTGGATAACCGACATGAACATCACCTCTCGAGATCGGTTCAATGTTAGAATCAAGGTCCTTCTCGCGCACCCACAAGACCATTTGGAAGACGACGCTACGGGATTACATCTATAATACTCAAAGTTTCCCACAATTCAAGACTCTTTCCCGGGGTAAATAAATGGTACTGAGGCATGTGAGCATGTCGTCTCTCGGAATTCTAAAGTTCACTCATATTATGAACACAGAAGGTCTCAAGTAGACAATGGTGTGAAAAGGAGTGTAGGCTACTGGCCATTGAAGTCCAATTAAAGTCACACCTAGCAGTGAACGTGAATCCATGATTAATGATGCCGCTAACGTAACATCCAGGTTAGACAATCTACTGTAGCCATGCTTTCACCAAGTTCCTCAGCCCACTCGCCATCCATTCTTCATCAATCTTCGTCATAGCATCAAAGCCATGCTCACCAGGCTGGACCGCCAGATTGAACTCAAACTCAGGGTCAACCTCCCTAACCAACTCTTTCAAAGCGACATTTCCTTTCGCCGGCACAACACTATCATCAGCACCCTGCCACACGAATACACCACCGCGCGGAAACTTCTGCCCAGCCCTCAACCTCTCAAACGGAAAAAGCTGCTCCTTCTCGAGCGGGAACATCTTGGGAAAGCCGCCGTGTTGAAGATTAGCAAACATGAGGAGGCCCCTCTCGAGATTTCGGTCGTTGGAGATGAGTGCAGGTGCCTCCCCATTACGAATCTTTTCAAAATGGTCGTCAACGATGCTCTGAGGCAGGGCTAGTCCGAATACCGGAGCCGTCGGCCTCTCCATGAAGTGTGCGTCGGCAAGGTCGATGCAAGGATAGGCAGCTGTCACAGCCCGGATTTCCTTGGCATGAGACAAGCCTGTCATGATACTCAGGTAGCCTCCCGCACTGTCACCAGCCGTCAGGATCCGATCCGTGTCAACATCAACGCGGCCTCCAAGCTCCTTCTTGAGAAAAGGGGCTAGCTCCTTATGAACCCAGGCCCAATGATCCTCTATATCTTCGAGGAGGTCTTCGATAGTGGACTCCGGCGCGAGACGGTAGTTCGGGCTCACAATTACAGCCGAGTGGCGTGCCGCGAGTTCCATGTGCCAGGGCGCGAAGAATCCGGGATAGAGACTCGCGCCGCCGATAAAACCGCCGCCGTGGTAGCGTAGTATTATGGGGCATGGTGAGGTCACCGGGCTCGAGGCCTCTGTCAGCTTCTTCGGGATGAGGACATCGGTGGTGATGGAGTGGTCTGAAATTGTCTTGTAAATCGTTGTCAGGATGGTGAAGTCTGAGAAACGAGACATGTCGTCTGGATGCGGCAGGAGATCCATTTTGGCTTGTTGGATGCGTATCTGGGCCAAGTAGCTTTATGATAAGCAACGCTAGTTGTCTGAAAAGATGAGAGGACCTAGCCTCATGGAAATGTTCCGTAGTCGCAGGTCTTTCAGAAGAGAATGGTTTCTAAACAGTATCTGTTGAGCTCAATATGGGTCTCTCGGTTGCTTTCTGTCCCCGACAGACACGCTGACCCACGGAAACTTATTAAGAAATCTCCACACTAATATACATTCTCAAACATCCCAACCCCGCGAATAGCATTGACTAGTGGTCTTCGGATGTCGAACATGACATTTGGAGCTCCGTGCTTCGGAATCCGGTCTTTTGAGTTTCGGGAACTAGCAGTCGTAGTCTCAACTTGGACCAAGCTGCAGGAGTCTTAATCCGCAAGCCTGAGAGTCCGCGCCAGTGGTAGATTAGACTTGAGGGCTAAAACGTCTGTTGGATCCCACCCTCGGGCCGGCATTTGCGGACGGCATGTGTCCGTATTGAACGAGGGCCTTCAAATTGGGTGGCCAGGGGCGTCAAGTTAAGGCCTCAGATGATCGCATTGATGGCCTATTTGACGTCAGTCTCATGAAGTTTGTCGGGTAGAAAGCCACCATTGTTCGCGGCAGACAAGCCCGCGTCAATACGCGGAAGGTTGGCAAATCCATAGCACATTCAATACCACCAGTGAATTTTTTGAATTACAATCCAAAAGGAACCAAGTAATACACCGAGCTCTCTCTCTTTGTTGGGTCAAGGCCGTTTAGTTTTGCAATCACTGAGATACATAATTCTAAGCCCCCAACTAAAGTAGCCTCCTAGCCACAGAAAGGAGCATCTACAAGACTTACCGATGGATGTTACCCTAGATAATACATTGTTTAGGATTAATCGATATGAATCTAGAGCAAACGCATAGGAGATGCACCAATATATCACAAAAAGCGTCTATACGGCATCTTGCCATATATACTTACCTACCAAAGAGACAAACGATAGGTAGCTAAAGTGGGTAGCGTAAGGCTACTCCTCCTAAATACTGACATCATCGATCCTCTTCTATTCAACACCTGAAGGGAGAAAGAAGCTTAAGAGAAAAAGGAAAATTACATGAAAAGTTTCATTCCCCAGCTAAGCCACAACTGCAAACAAGGTCCACATCTTGACAACAAGTTCTGTTGATAGAGTACGGAAAACACATACTTAAATTTTCGTTGCAAAGGCAGAAGTCCTAAACCCCCAAGAACCATGTCAACAGAAGCCTAGACTAAATGAAGAGACTACCCCAGGAGACAGGGAGGATTACGTTATGCCGAGGAAGGTTAGTACAAAATAAGAAGTTGGATAGAACGCTATGAAACAGGGAATAGCTTGAATTTGCTGCGTACTTCACGATTTCGGCAAGTCTAGAGTCTATTCTGTTGGGTATCTGGTCGAAGACTATGACTAGCCTTCCTTAGGCTTGCGAGACTTCTACTAGGGACGTTCTTACTAATACTATCGATGATCAATTGTTTCCTTGACTGGGTGTTCCAGACGACTCTTTGAGGGCTATGCATAGTACATCATAGATCTTCCTCAAGCGTAATTCCTAGTTCCACACCTAAGCCTCCTTGGGTGATTTATGTCGCGAGGTGTCTCGAGCAAGTCGTTGTTCGCTGTCCTTTTTGTAACGTTGCCTGCCCAAAGGATCTTGTCGTCTGGCAGGCTGGGTGGAGTGAATGCAAGTGATGCTGGAGCTTACTTCTGGGAACTTTGCAGTTCGCAAAGGACTTTACCCAGGCTCTTCAAGCGACGAAACCGGACTTCGCTAATCACTGCCGCCGGGGCACCTAATTCTATCATCCTCGTAGCAGGCTTTGCAACGCCGAAAATCTGTGGTTGTGCAATGGGATGAGTGGTGATCTCACTAATCACTATATTATCAACAGATGTCCCATCTGTTGATCTACTGAGGGGGTAACCAGGCCAGCTTCTGGCTTCCCGAGACAAAGAGCGTTCCTAAAGAGACTCAGCTGAGGGAGACTAGCAATGATAGTAACGGATGGGGACTACGGCAAGGCATACCGCACCGCCGCACCACTAGCCACAGCCTGTGTCATGTCATTGAACCCAAATTGTACATGGTTTATTGTAACATCAGCCGCCATTGGTGGCATTCATCTAGCCTAATTCTCGAAGCCTTGGCCGCTGTAAGCAATCATTCATTGTTGGTTTGCTCGTGCGTGCTTTTCTACAAAAAAACATATAGCCACCAACTGAACTAGTAGAGCCAGCATCTCAGAGGGCTTTACTCTGTTCTGTGCTGATGAGAGTCTCTGTCAATGAGTCTAGAGGCGGGGATCCCAGCCTCGAGCTTGCTCGTCGCCGTGGCAAAGAAGCGATCCATTAGCTGGTGGGCAATTGCGGGAGTTTCGGTGACAGAGTTGTTGCTCAAATGAGAGACTCCGTCCATGAACGAGCCCGACGAGACTCTGCTGCTTGTTGGAGTGATTGCGTCACTTCCTTCGCTGCGAGATACTGTGCTGGAAGACGTGCTCCTCTAGTCCACGTTACGTTCAGCAGTCGGGGCACCGCCACGCCAGAGACCGTAGAAACCGTCGCAATTCTTCCACATCTTGATCGTGCCGTCCTCGGAGCCAGTTCCGTACAGCTTGCCGTCGGGGGAGAATGCGATGGACCAGATGGGGCCATGGTGCCCCTTGAGAGTTTCTAGTAGCGTGTTAGTAGGTATCCTGCTTCCAAGTTTCTGTCCCCCAACTCACCGATCTCGCCAGCGTCGTCCCAGCGGCAGACGCGTGCCCAGGTACCCGGCTCTTCGCCCATGATAATCTTGCGACCCTTGAGGTCCAACCCGACGCTTGCAACGCCATGCTTCAGTTCCAAGCGCTTGAGTTCGTCCATCGCTTGCGGGCCTCCCCAAAAGTATACCCATTTGCCGGCGGCCACAGCCAAGACAGGAAGGCCGCCTCCAATATCACCGGGCGAAGTGTGCTCGGGCGCCAGGGAGACGAGCTCACAGGACTTGATTTCGCCGTCGAGGACCTCCTGACGAATGACGTTACGGGTGGGCAGGTCGAACCACCTTAGGGTGTTGTCGGACGCAGTGACGATCGTGTTAGGATCCTTGGTCCAAGCAATGAACTTGATGGAGCCAGTATGGGTGCCTTCGCCAATCTCAAAGCCGGCCGAGGCAGGCACGGTGATGGGCGTACCGGTGGGAGAGTTAGGATCGGGGGCGAAATCGCTGAGGTCGAAGACGCGAAGCTTCTTCTCCATGCCTCCTGTGGCGATGAGCTCAGAGTTGTCAGGCGGGTAAGCGACGGCGCGGACGATGTGGTTGTGCTGAAGGGTGTAGAGGACTTCTCCACTATGAGTGTCCCAGACCTTGCTGCTGGTCATTAGTCACGGTTCGGAGTATGAGTGACGTGTGATAAGACTTACGCGGTGAAGTCGGCAGAGGCGGTTGCGGCGTTGGAGGCATCAGGACTCAATCTGGCCTGCCAGACAGCACCCTTGTGGCCAATGAAGGTTCCGATCCTGTGTGAGCACTCGTCAGCCACGCGCGGTCAACTGGTCTCAGAGGAGGAAGCTACCAATCGCCAGTAACACCATCGCGCAACATTGGATTTCCATCTGCGACAGGGTTAGCAAAACCCTGGTGGCAGCGCAGGATCATTTATCTCCAGCTTACCCTTGCAAGCAGAGATCATGTAGTATTGCTCTCCCTTCTCAAGGCCAGAGAAGCAGACGTGAGGAACAGGTCGAGAGTGACCATGGCAGGTCAGAGGAACATATTGACGCGAGGTCTCGGCAGCGGGAGGGGCAGCGGCAGCCATATCGTCGTTGAGGGGAGGAATTCGGGGTGCTAGGTGCTTGTTGGTTTCGTGAGAGTCGCAATCGCAACGTTTGCGCTGTGGATGGATATCAAGTTGTCGACAAGTTGGATGCTTTGTTTTTTTTTGTTGTTTTTTTTTGGCGATTGACAGTCGAAGGAGATGAGGAAAAAACGAAGTCAAGGAGAGTCAGTCAGATACAGCCGTTACGTCGTAAATATCGTGAGGAGTAGGTACGATGGATCGCGTGAGGGCAAGCAGCGCAGCAATAGCTCCAGGAAATAGAGCGAACGCACGTCAAGGGAAAGGAAAGAAAAAAGGAGGACGGGGAAAGCTGCAGGAGGATGCGAGAAGCAATGGGAGAGCGGCGCAGATGAAATAATAGTGGGGGGCTCCCCGAGTCGGAGCAAGGCCGATTTGCGCCTGGATTATGTCGGGTGCGATTGTTTGATGGAAGCCGCTGCAAGAGCAGGTGCGAAATGTGAGAGTGTACCTACTTATTGGAAGCCGGTTCCATGAAAGGAGGTACAAAGGTACACCTTGTACCTTGTTCGGAAGGAGTCAAGGAGATTCGATGGACCCCTGAAACCAGGCCGGTCCTGCCACGAGCAGCCAGAACTTCAGAGTGACCCCGCGCTGCGCCGTGCAGGTCGCGGATTCTATTCCTACCTAATACCTAACACCTAAGAGGGGGAGCTGCTGAGGTAAGCGTCCTAGCAGTGTGGCTTGCAGGCAGCCCTGCCTGTTGGAAGCCACGTGCTGCTTTGCTTGCTGGCCCCACAGATGTGGCTGACGGTATCCGTAGGCCCGCAGTACCTACCTAGGTATCCGTGAGGTATGTAGGTACTGTGGCGCATTGGAGCTTCAGCGTTCCCGCTTCCGTCATCATCGTCTAGCTACCTTACCTACTTGACTACCTACCTCCCCTCCATAACGTAAGGCAAGGAAGGTACCGCCCACCACCTCGAATCGATACGAGCGAGCTTTCCACCTAAAGAGCCACCCTCGGACTCTCTGGACTCTTTCTGATACCTACTTACTTTTCCCGACCTCCATCACAGATTGCCAGCAATGACGACAGACTTCAAGCTATCCGCCCAGCTGTCTGGCCACGACTCGGACGTAAGCAAACGAACCTTCAACGCTCTATTCATCAGCTAATGCAAATG